TTATACCGGTAGGCAATGGTCTGGCCTCAATGCTGCGAGGCCAGGCCAGACCCTGGACCGTCCAGATGGACGGTTCAGCCTCAATCGGCGGGCGGCAGCTTCAAGAGCGCCGCCAGGCCCAAACGAAGTGTCGTTTGGGCCTACCCGATGGGTGCTGGTCCAAAATCAGGCCTTTAGGGCCTGTAACCCCAAAAGGTCGGGCCTTTAGGCCCTGGTGTGTCCCTCCGGCCCTAAGTCGGGTCCAGTAGGACCCGTGTGAGTCGAAGATGTAACAGCTACCCACCCTAAACCAAACAACAGCAATAAGAGAATAAAAACTTTTGTCTGTGAGGCATGTTCAAATTCTTGGCCAAACTGGAGTTAAAAAACAAAAACCTAAAACCATTTATCTTTTTTTATTATTCTTAATCATTAAACAAAAACAAAAAATGACTGAACATGTTCGGGAGGCGTCCGGCCGAGCACCCGAATGTGTTCGGGAGGCGTTCGCGAAAGCTCCGAACACGTTCGGGGTGCTACATAGACTACCGTAGGTCGTTGTTAATAAACACCAACAGATCACGAGTTCGATTCCTTGTTAGTAATCAGGTGGGGCTATAATTGCATGCCGATTGCAGAACTAATTCCCACACACATGTAACTAAACAATTTTTAATTCAGAAAAAAAAAAAAAAGGGCAACAGCCTTGAGATATCATTGTGGAACTGCTGACCAGCCCCAGGTAATTCAAGAGACTCATCTCAACTTTCTCAAGTTCTCAAAACTACCGTCTTCACCCGAACAGAACGCCCAGTCATTATAGCTGTATTTGGCACAACTTTCAGCCCAGATACAGCGATAATTACCGGGCGTTCTATTCGGGTGAAGACGGTAGGTAGTTCCACCTGGGGATTGGAACTTGGATCCGTATTCCAATTTCCAATCCAAGTTTGCGGGTGTGTACCAACTGCGCAAGGCGGAACAAAAAGAACAAAGTTAAAAAGGAACTGAAAATATTTCAAAAATAGTAAAATGGCAAAAAAAAAAAAAAAAAAAAAAAAGTAAAGAAGAAGAACTAAAAATAGTAAGTAAATACCTCATCCTCATACTTCAAGTCTGTTAACCAACCGCCTTCCTTCAGCTTCTCGGTCTCAAATGTGCCAGACTGCAGAAGGGCATCCACCTCCTCCCTGGTCTTACCTAATGCAAGCACAGCAATCAGGATCGAGGACAACACAGATCAGAATCCACTTCAGAGATATCATCATCATCATCATCATCATCATCATCATCATCATCATCGTCGTCATCATCGTCGTCATCATCGTCGTCATCATCGTCAATCAACAAGCAACCCACTTGCAGGTGGGTTGCTTGTTACGGGAATAGCTGCATTTTGGGCAACTTTCTGTCCAGATACATAGCAACCCACTGGCAAGTGGGTACTACCGGCAGGTAGTATATTTTTCACACATGGAGTGCTTTCCCGTTTTCGGTTTTGGATTTCACTTGTCAGGTGTTAAGCGGCAGATCTGTCTGTCTCTGCAGTGCACATGAAGGCCTGCCGCGCACTACACCTTTGTGCTTTGCTTGACCCTCACAGGATCGAATACAGCACTGCTCACTCACATTCGTGCAAACAACGCACAGTCAGAGCTTCTGCCAGCGCTTCCGTCTGAGCTCCGATCAGAGGTTCAGTCAAAGATTTCCGCTCATCAGAGGTTCGGTCAAATATTCCATCGGTCAGAGCTTCCGTCAAAGTTTCACTACCGTCTTTCACCCGAATATCACGCCCAGTCATTATTGCGCTGTATCTAGCCAGAGACTTGCCCAAAATACAGCTATAATGATTCCGGTGAAGATGGTAGTCAGAAGTTTGGTCAACTGTTACAGCACTGCTCACATACTTGTCAAGGAACACTCAGTCAAAGCTTCAGACAGAGCTTCGGTCAGAGCTCTGGTCAGAGCTTTGGTCAAACATTCCATCAGAGATTCGGTCAGAGCTTCGGTCAGAGCTTCGGTCGGAGCTTCGGTCGGAGCTTTGGTCAGAGCTTTGGTCATAGATTCGATCAGAGATTCGATCAGAGATTCAATCACAGATTCGATCAGAGATTCGATCACAGATTCGATCAGAGATTGGATCAGAGATTCGATCAGAGATTCGATCAGAGATTCGATCAGAGATTCGATCAGAGGATCAGTCCGATGTTCAGTCAGAGGTTAAGTAGTCAGAGGTTCAGTAGTCAGAGAGGTTCAGTAGTCAGAGAGGTTCTGAGTCAGAGGTTCAGCCGGAGGTCCACCCGTCAGAGGCTCAGTCAGAGGTTTGGTCCGAGGCATGGTCAGTCAGAGTTTTGGTTTGGGGTTTGGTTAGAGGTAAGGTAAGATTCTTTTGTCAGAGGTTAGGTCAGAGGTTAGGTCAGATTCTTTTGTCAGAGACTAGGTCAGAGGATTGGTCAGGAGGTCTTTTTTTTTTCTTTTTTTTTTTGTGTCAGGAGGTTTTGGTCAAGCAAGGAGGGAGAGGAGAAGGGACAAACAGAACAAAAAAGAAAAGAAAAGAAAAGAAAAGGAAAAGAAAAGGAAAAGAAAAAAAAAGCTCACCTCGCGATGCTGCAACAGTATCAAGCCAACCGCTGTAGATGTCCTCGAGAAGCGACGTCAGCATTTCCCTGTTCTCCAAGCTCATGTCTTTCCGAGCAAGTTGGTCGCCGGCGCTTTTGTACTTTCCAATTCTTTCCACTTGCGGTTCGACACCCACTTTTTCCAGCACGCCTACAGCAGCACAGTAAAGCACACAAGAGAGGATGTGAGCACCGAACGATCCTGCAAAGAGCTGTAGCGCACAGTACGAAAACACAGCCCGCCAACGGGCCTAGCTCAGTTGGTACATTTATGAGCTGTCGAAATACAGACCTCAGTTCGAATCCCTATCAACTCGGATTTAAAAAAAAAA